TGTCGCAGGACTTTTCGACCATACCTAATAGAAATAAAGCAGTGTAGAGTTAAGAGTGCTCATTCTCTTCCTAGAAGACTAGGGGTGGGTATTTGTCTACAAGCGCCCATTATTCTGGTATATGGAATAAAAAAACCTGCAAAAGGAATTAGATCACTCAAATCCCCAAAGAATGTGCCTGGAAATATATTTTTCTCGAAAATCTCCTATTACACAGCTCGTTCAAAGTAAGCTACTCTCACGATCCCCGCAAACGATGTGACGGAAGCGTGAGTTCGAGGGTGACCAGGACAGCCAATCCACCAACTGTAGGAGGTTCAGGACGGCATCATTAATTAAAATGACAGCCCCGGCTGCGCTCCTACCCACGTCCTTCATATCGCTCGCGGGGACCATATTGTACGCACTCAAAGGAACAGTAACGCGGAAATTGTGGACAGTGAGGATCTAAAATACTCAAGGGATGAGAAAAGGAGATGAGTCAATAACTACTTTTTGTGCACTATCTAATACCATCACTCAGTGTCGGGTTTGATTTCGGCAGCACCAGTGACCTTGACTGCGAACCATGTTGTCGTCGGGTTAGCGAATCGCAGCACATATTCGCCAGGGGTCACAGAATACTACGTATTTCGGGAGCTGAAATTGAAAATTATCAGCGACTATGATGAGCACATTACTAGCAGACGGGCTCTTACCTTCAAGCTTGTTAGCGTGATCTTCGGCCAAACTTTCACATCTTTTCCTGCCTCTCGTCGTACGATTTCGAACTCGGCATCGCCACTGATAGTGAAGTTCCAGATCAGTCGACCAGCTTGGGTGCACTTTCTGAAGGACTTTTTTCACTAACTGAACAGGACACGATCACATGTACTCTCGCCCTCACCTAACAAGTTCACAAGACTGATGACTTTTCATTGTGAAAGTTTTGCTGGGTGGCTTTGTCAGCCCGTAGTCGCTATCTTCGGCCTCATAAATCAAATAGTGTTTTTCAGACACTCTGAGCACGAAGGGCTTATATAGAGATTTGTTTAGGTTCAATCGAGGATCACTTCAAAAGAGCAGCGGAACTAGTTTTAAAAATCCCTGAACAAACAAAACTGAATACTCCAGTAAGTGTAGTTAGTCACGGTTATGCGAGTAGAAAAGAATTTTTCTAAAGAAACCCTTTAACAAAAAAAAATTGAAACAAAGAAGGATGGTTCGTTTCCCCGCATACTCAGACAGACCACCTGCCTCGCCAACCTCCAGGGCTCATCAATGAGTTGAGGTTGGCCAAGCAAGGCATAACAAGTGCTCTTGATTTTCTTTCATTTATTCATAGGTAGACTTCTCGTGTTTCATTCTAACAGCTGCGAAGAACTCACCCCTCAATATTCAGAACTTAGGAGGGGTTTGAGGGACGGGTACATCCTTCCGGAGGATCTGCGAAACCGGAATCATCTCGCATTGCACCACCGTACTCTACAGGGATTGCCTTAAAAATCCGTTGATTCATTCTAGAACAGAAGGAAGTTTGCTTTTCATAACTGCTCATTGCTTATTGCAGACCAGACAGCTAGAGAAGGAAATCCATCTACTGATGAACGTTCAACCCTCGTGGGCGCCGTAGCATGAGCCACGTGGCCTATAAGGAGTGCTCAAGAGAGATCTCCCTCGAGGACACCAAAAATAGGTGGGAAAGGCTATTTGAATAAATCCTGGGATATTCGTCTGGCACAAGAAACAAGCACTCCACCACTTTCTCCATCGTTCGAAAACTCCGAAGCGGCTGAGCAAACTTCAAGGTTCGATTGCTCCTTTGTAAGCTCTACGGTCGCTACTTGATGAGCTCTACTAACACTGAAGACAAAAACTACCAGAATAAGCACTTACATGAGGCTCGAGATATTTCTTCAAGTCGGCGACGTTATCGAGAATGGAAAGACGGCTGAATGTTTTGGGATCGATGATACTTTCCTAATCTAAATGGTGAATGAGAAAGAAGTGTGTCAGAAAGACAGCATTAGCCGGCAACACCTGATCATGACGGCTCTCTGCAGTTTACTTCCCTTTCAAAAAAATTGATGGTCACCTCATGCGACCCACACCATCATCACCGGATAAGAGGAACCTCCAAAACTAATCAATTTTACTTAAAACCAAAAAAAAACTTACTTTGAGCATCAGCGACATTATTGCGGGAGGATTGGCGATAACCAGCTTACACATCTAAAAGTATGTAAAGGTTTCGATAAATAAAAGCGAATTAGAACTGTAATTAAACACTATTAATCCTTCACCGATCTAACTGGCGCTGTTTAGGGCAGATTTGAGTCGAACTTCCCTCCTAAGGTCGGTTTGGCTAGAGATTTTGGCATTGTCTGACCTCTTTGATAAGCACATCCCATCAGGGTACAGCATCGTTGTGCGAAACCCATGGGGGGTCGTACTTGGCCGCTGGGGAGGGGGGTCGTAATCTCAAGGGTCAGTCAGCACCGGACAACGCTATGACGTTTCAGTTGATAGAAGGAGTAGAGCTATGAAAGCCGTGATGTTAAAAAACGTAAAAGTTTTCATGAATGTTCTGCTGCGTTCATCAGCCTTCTTTTCGTGCGAAATCCCCAGAAAGGAGATCGCACTTGGCCGCAGGGAACGTGGGGAAGGTCGCAAACGGAGGGTCGGCGAGCATGAACGTGTCATTGCTAAGTTTGATGGAACGGATGGAAAGCTGCAGAAGACCCGGATGTTAGGAAGACTTCAAAACAATAAAAATTTAATCAGTAATATGATAAATTGTTATCATGAACTCGTAGGGCATAGATGACTGAATAATACATCTCAAACAGATTCGTGCGTATTGTCCTTTCAAACCCTAAACAACATCTGCTTGCATGGACAAAAGCACCTGAAACCAGAATTACACCTTTCTGCTATCTCTGCGTAAATGCGTAAGCACGGCGCACGCTCGGACCAAATCGATGATGATAATCAAGCTCTTCTTTCAACTCATTTGGGCGGGAATATGTGTTTTGGAGGCACACTGAAATTCCGAAGGTGTATCCTCACAATGGCACATAAGGAGTCAATTTTTCGGGTGGTCCAGAGGGTAGCGCAAGGGTGACCCATCTAAAATATCTCCTGAACTAGTGGGTCTTCAGAAAAACTGTAAAGCTTATTGGAAAGAGAAAAGATAGGGCGGTTTCAAGACGATTTTAATCCTGATGAAATTGCGTTCGAAATAAGTAATCCTTGTCCGAAGCATAAAACCCGCTTGCGAATGACCCCTAGCCGATCCGAAACCCATCCGGAATATTTCACCAACGGGGATTGTTCAGTTTGCAACTAGGTAGAATACACAACAGTAGGAACTTTGCCGTTGCATGCTGCTAACCATTCCTCAAAAGCCCAGCATTCAAAAGAGATATAAGCTCCTAAAAAGAACTGAGGACACAATAATAAATACCGCGCTCCAATGACGTTTTTCCACTAAAGCGGTCGCAGCGTTGCGACCGCCGTGACTATCGATATACAGCCGCCTGATGATCCATTTTTTTAGTGAGCTTTGCGTTTTTCGGTGTGCTTTTGTATATTTTTTTTATGTTTTGCATGTTTTCACGATTAGGGATGACTTCTCACAGAAGAGTAGCGTCGGTATTTGATTCCTCGTCACCATCCACTGATTGCACGTCGGGGACCTGACACACTGGCTTCGGATTTTTTTACTAATTTTGCTTGAAATATATCACCATTGTTTTCTGTTTTATTAATGGTCCTTGTTATAAGTTGCATCTCATACATAGTTGCCGAACGACGCCTTTTATTTTTGTGTTGTTCAGCCTCATTTTGCCAACAATTTTGCAAATTGTAGGCAGTACGAGGCTGCACACCAGCCTCGTACTGCCTACAATTTCGGAGCAAAGTCCGCACTGCAGGATCCCTGATTCCATTTTAGGATGTCATTTCGTATGAACCAACATATGGCTGTCAGTTAGAGCGGGAGGGGGGTCGTAACCGGACCCTCTCCGAGGGGGGTCGTACTCATTTCGCACTTCCCATGCTGTACCCTGCATCCCATGCGCCTGAGGCGAAAGCGCGTCACGCCCGCGCTATACAAGAAGTAGGAGCTGGTGCTAAAACACTTCCAGTCACCAGATTCGCAAGTTTGTCTTCAAGGATACTTTGACCAATATACTCGAAAAGAAGCCCATTAAGTGTATTGCACGCGCCTGCGCCAAATTGCCTCGCGGCACAGGCGCCTGCAGCTTGAACTCCTACCATTTCGCCACACCAATGTGATCCATGTTTGGAGGTAAGCAGCTACTGGGGCGGGGGAGGGGGGGGGGGAGGGAAAAGGCTGGAAAAAAAATAACCGAGAAGAAATTCAATCAAAATCTGGTCCCAACTTTAAGGGCTGGGAGACTGCTGAAAGTGAATGTGCCGCTAGTGTTGGAGAGAACACCTACATTCTCACGGAAGTATTCTCACCAGATCTTCACGGCGAGACGAGACAGTTGTACGTGAGTTCCAGGGATTGATGAAAGGAGCTCATATTCACGCCTTTCATGTCAAGTTGGCGACCACGGAGGAAGGACGTCCTAAAAGGTCGGTTACAGAGAACGCTGAGTACATAAAGCTTCAAGTACATACAGTCCTAAACAACCGCATCGACGGACTTGGACCTCAAAGCGATGCCAGTCTGACAGCAACAGAAAGCGAAGTTCAGGAGTGGAGAGAGTTTTACAGTTCCGCTGGCCATATAGCTCTCTGAGAAAATGGAAGCACTAATCGGTCCTATCAAGTAATTTTTTAAAGTATGAACACCTGCTATACCTACCATGAACCACATTACGATAAAAGCCCCTCACGAGGAATGAAAATGTCCCCCCCCCTTTGTGCCACAATTAAAGGATCAAACGGTGGATTCCTGAAGCCGGCGGTTGTGGACAACGATTTGTGCACATGGTACCATCGCCAGAGGTTGGGTTGGGGTAAACTTTCTGAGTGCGACACTACCTAAATGTTCTTCTCCGGTGAGACCCTACTCGTCCCACAGCAGGCCGATCATTTTCTCGAACTTCACGAAAAATTAGGATCAAAGCATACCAACCACAAATTTGATTAGAATTCGTTTAGGACTCTGCACCTTGGTGAATAAGCCTCTTCGTGAGAAAGAATTGTCGATGAAGCCAAGAATCTTCAAAGAATTGGCTAGCTGTTATCGTGGACGAATCGGTAAACGCACTCTGTACACTCCAGGCACAATGCCAAGATATGTAACCGCAAACACTTTCGAATCGCGACCTAACAATAAGGAGAAAGTAACGATTGGCCACGGCTATCAGTTTCTATGAGTGTTTCAAGGGCAGACGTAGCAGAGGCATTGATAGACGTGACCAGGCAGAAAATGATGAAGAAGGTTTTCAAGACTTTCCTCTCAGTTTTTTTTTGAAAAAAAATCGTAACTTTGGGTGAAAAAGTACCTGGACTTTTGTTTGTTCCTCTTACTAGTTCTCACTGATTGACGGATTTCACCAAAGAAAAAACTGTAAACCGCTATGAAGCTGTAGAAGAGGTACAAGTGATCCACTCTAGTTACAGGATTCAGGTCTACAGAAAATGGACGGTACATACCTTGCTTAGCGTGAGATGCGCTCCCAAAACGGGTGTGTGGTGTTCTTAAAAGATCTCACTTCACACCTATCATGCCTCTCGGGGAGACTCGCCTGCGGTGTTGCCTGACTTAATTGCTCTCTCACTAACTCCTGACCTCTCGTCTACAGACACGACTGAGCCAAACTGAACATGGAAAGTAGAAGAAAAAATAAAAGTAAACGTAGGAAATGTCAGAAAAAAGATGTTTTCATAAATTTAAAATGTCAAGAACACATTTAACCACTTAGAGCAACTGAAATGCAGACGTACACAACATGAAATTACCGCAATTTAAATGGGAAAAAGGGCACGTATTGAAAAAATTCTATTGTTTTCATCATGGAAGGTATCCCAAAAGATTTGAACTTCTAGGCTCTGTAATTACTTGAAGGTTGAATGTGTTCTGCCAAGAACTCGCTGTAATTGGACTCTAATGCCCCTATAGGGAGGTTAATTCGTTAAATATGACCGTCAGTACTTTTAACTGTTAGGCACCTCTTTTACCAACGTCACACCTGATATAAAGGTTGTCGCTAATCAGTAACTAAGCGAGCTGATTAGCGGAAATCTTTAGCACTGTTGTTTGTGTAACGCACAGTAGAGCATGAATGATAACATTCACTCACGTTTTCTTTTTCATTTGATGTCGCACAAAGCACTACTAACTCAACATATGGTTCGTTGTACACAACCTCATCGGTTCTTCGGGAGCAGTATACTACTATGCATGTGCCGTTTCCCTCGTTTTATGTTTTAACTGGAAGCACACACCTCGACGCCACACATTTCGATGGGATGAACTTCGGCTCAACTCCG